AAAGATTTAAAAGGGTCCTAAGGGGCAACTTTTTCATGCAGCAGATTGTGCGTGTATGGAATGAGCTGCCAGAGGAGTTGGGGGAGGCAGATACGATTACAACATTTAAAAGGCATCTGGGTGGGTACACGAATAGGAAGCATGAAGCAGGATATGGGCCAAATGCTGGCAAATAAGACTAGATCAGTTTAGGATATCTGGTTGGCGAATTGGACTGAAGGGTCTGGTTCCGTGCTTATGACTCTAAGACTTACACTGTGGGGTATTGAATTTCATAGATTGCCGGCTCTTTGAGAGAAATAATTTCTCCTCATCTCAGTTATAAATCTATTACCTTATCCTAAAACTATGACGTCTCATTTAGATTGCCCTACAGTCTAGGCCTAAACTCCTTCATCTTTCCTCATAAGACAAGCCTTTCTGGAATTAATTTAATGAACATTCTCTGAACTGCCTCCAATGCAGTTACATCCTTTCTGAAGTAAGGAGACTAAAACTGCATGCAGTACTCCAGATGTGATGTCACCAATGTCTTGTATGATTGTTCCAATACTTCCCTACTTTTATACTCCATTCCTCTAGCAATAAATGCCAAGATTCTATTTGCATTCCTTATTATCTGTTTTACCTGCGTACTAACTTTCTGTGACTCATTCATAAGAACACCTAGATCTTTCTGGAGTGAAGCATTTTAAATTTCTCTCTCTATGTAGATAATAGGATGCTTTTTTATTCTTCAGACAAAAATGGATAACCTAACGCTTACCCTTGTTAAACTCTAAATGTCAAATTTTGGCCCAACTGCATGGAGGCAGTTCAGAGAAGGTTCACTAAATTAAGTTGAAAGGCTTGTTTTGAGGAGACATTGAGCAGTTTAGGTCTATATTTGCCAGAGTTTAGAAGGATGAGAGTGGATATAATTGACATATATAAATACTACGCTGTTCATTTGCCCTCCCTTCCAAAATGAACAACTTCACATTTTCCCACATTATATTCCATCTGTCAAATTTTTGTCCACTTTCTTAATGCACCAATATTTCTCTGTAAACTGTTTGTATCTTACAACTCGCCTTTCTGTCTATTTTTTGTCACCTGCAAATTTGGCTACTTGCTTCCTTCCTCCAAGTCAACATTCGGTTTTGTCGACAAGATACCCAGTAGACAGTGAGAAGTCATCAAATTCTATCTTTTGTTTTTAGTCTCTTGGACAATAATGTGTTTGTGTTTCTTTTGCCCCTTTTTTAATAGAATCATCCCAGCATACACTGTTGTGTTTTGTGTTGAGCAAGTGTGTCCGTGTTTGGTATTAGTTATAATTACACACTAATGCTCGGATGTTAACCAGTGTTTGGCAATTGCTTTATGAATAAGATTTATATTAGAATAAAGACATTATTTTGAGGTCACTGCAGAGTCTGGTAAAATGCACTTTTATTCTGTATAGTAGCAGAAGAGGGAATTTATTGGTCATTTTGGTGTTTCAATTGACACATTTGTACTAATGGTTTGACTGATGGCGTAGTGAAGCTTGATTATCAATACATTCCTCCCATCACAATCATTAAATCTGTCATATGGAAAATACTGTAAGCGAGAAAGGTGATAAAGCAGGGCATTTAGAAAAGTTCAAGGTAATCACACAGATTCAACATAGTTTTGTGAAAAGGAAATTACATGTAACTAATTTATTTGAATTCTTAGAAAAGTAACCAGTGCTGTGGATAAAGGGGAACCAATTAATGCACTGTACTTTGATTTCCAGAAGGTATTTAATAAGGAGACACGTCAAAAGTTATTTCAGATAATAAAGGGTCATGATGTAGGCAGTAATTGGCATGAATAGAAGAATGACTCGCTGACAGAAAACAGTGAGTAAGCATAAATGGGTCTTTTTCCGTGCTGGCAAGATCTAATGCGCAGTGTACTACAGTGAACTGCTGCGCTTCGAACTTTTTACAATTCATCTGAAATACGTGGATGAATGGAACCTAGGTATGGTGGGTAAATTTGCTGATGAATAGGTAGCAACAGGTAGAAAATAGCAGGTATAAAAACAAGTTGTAAAGAGGTCAGAAAGGAATATAGATATGTTAAGATAGTGGGCAGATATATGGCAAATGGAGCATAATGTGGGAAAATGCAAAACTGTCATTTTGGCAGGAAGAATTAAAAAAGAATATTTTCAAAATGGTGAGACATTGGCAAGCTCTGAAATGCAGAGGAATCTGAGTGTTTTAGTACATAAATTGCAAAACATTTCTCTGCAGGTAGAGCAAGCAATTTGGCAAGCAAATAGAATGTTATCGCTTATTGGGAGGATAATTGAATAGAAAAGTAGGGAGGTTATGCTTCAATTATATTGTGTGCTGGTGAGACTACTTCTGGAGTACAGTGTACAGTACTCGTCTCCTTATTTAAGGAAGGATCCAAATGCAGTGGAAGCAGTTCTGAGAAGGTTTACCAGATGACTGTCTGGTATGCAAAGGGTGTCTTATGGGGAAAGGTTGGACAGACTTGGTTTGTACCTGCTGGAATTTTAGAAGAGATAAAGATAACCTGATTGAAACATACAAGATCCCAAGGGGTCTTGACAGAGTAGATGGAACGTCACTGCAGGAGCTCCTCAGTGTCGTGTCCTAGACCCAATGTTCAATTGCTTCATCAATGACTTTCCCTCCATCACAAGATCAGGAGCAGGGATGTTCACTGGCCAATGGGCAATGTTCAGCACCATTTCTGACACCTCAGATCTGAAGTAGTATGTCTCTATATGCAGCAAGACTTATACAACATCTAGGCTTGGGCTGACATGTGGGAAGTAACACGTGGAAGGCAATGACCATTTCCAATAAGACAGAACAGAAACATCTCCCCTTGACATTCAACAGAATTGTCACTGCTGAAACCCTACAATAAATATGCTTAGGGTTTGCAGTGACCAAAAACTGAACTGAGCCAGCCATATCAATTCTGTGGCTACAACAGTGGGTCAAAGGTTGGCAATTTTGGAGTCTGTAATTCACATTCCAACTCCCCAAAGCCTGGCCACCATCTACAAGCAATAAGTCAGGGAAGTGATGGAGTACTGTCCAATGGATGAGTGCAGCTCCAAAAACACTCAAGTAGCTTAATACCATCCAGGTCAAAGTGGCCTGCTTGGTTGGCTCCCCATCCACCACCAATGCAGAGTGTCAGCAGTACGTATGATCTACAAGACGCACTGCAGTCACTTAGCAAGGATTTTCTGACAGCACCTTCTAAGCTCATGACCTCTACCACCTAGAAGGACATGAGAAGTAAATGCATGGGAACACCACCAACTGCAAATTATTTTCCAAACATCTCACCGTCCTGACTTGGAAACATATCACTGTTCCTTCATTGTCACCAGGTCAAAATCCTGGAACTCCCCCCTTAACAGCATTGTATTTCCCTATACCCCATGAACTGCCCCTGTTCAAGAACAAAGGTCACCATCACTTTTTCTAGGGCAATTGGGATGTTCAATAAATGCTGGCCCAGCCTGTAACACCAAAGTCCCACAAATGAATAACCAAAAAGGATGTATTTTTTTGTGGGGAAACCCAGAACTAGGAGTCATCATTTTAAAATACAAGACAAGCTGCTAAAGGAGAGAAATTTTCTCTCAGAGATTCATGAGTCTTTGGAACTCACATCTTCGAAAGTCTGTGGAAGAAGAATCTTTGAACATTGTTGAATCAGAAATGGATCGGTTCTGAATTGACTTCATTTATTATTGTCACGTATCGAGCTTCAATGAAAAGTATTGCTTTGCGTGCTAATCAGACAAATCATACCTTACATAAGTACATCAGGGTAATAGAACAGAATGCAGAATATCGTGTTACAGCTACAGTGAAGGTGCAGAGAAAGGTCAACTCTAATATATGAGAGGTCCGTTCATAAGTCTGAAAGGCATGGTGGCACAGTGGTTAGCACTACTGCCTCACAGTGCCAGGGCCCCGGGTTTGATTCCACTTTCGGGCGCCTGTCTGTCTGGAGTTTGCACATTCTCCCTGTGTCTGTGTGGGTTTCCTCCCACAGTGTAAAGATGTGCAGGCTAAGTGGATTGGTCATGCTAAATTGCCCATAGTGTTCAGGGATGTGTAGATGGGTTACAGGTAATAGGTCTGGGTGGGATGCTGTGAGTGTTGGTGTGAACTTGTTGGGCTGAAGGGCCTGTTTCCACACTGTAGGAATTGTATGACTCTATGAACAGCAGGGAAGAAGCTGCTCAAGCTGTTGTTTTGTGTTTTCAAAGTTTTGTATCTTCTGCCCGATGGAAAAGGGGCAAGAGGTTATAACCGAGGTGGGAGACATCTTTGATTAAGTTTGCTGCTTTCCCAAGGCAGCGGGAAGTGTACACAGAGTCAATGGAAGGAAGGCTGGTTTTCGTGATGGGCTGCATTCACAACTTCCTGTAATTTCTTGTGGGTCTTGGACAGAGCAGTTGCCATACCAAGCTGTGAAGCATATGAACAGAGATAGTAGGAACTTCAGAAAGAAGGGTCCAGACCCGAAACATCAGCTTTCCTGCTCTTCTGATGCTACCTGGCCTGCTGTGTTCATCCAGCTCTACACCTTGTTATCTCAAGCATCTGAATAGGTTGTTCAGGGCAAGGGTGTGATGTGGATTGGACTTAGAATCAGATCAAGAATGATCTGATAAAATGGCATAGAGGTTTCCCTGGCCAAATGGTCTACTCCTAGTTCATTTGCTCATATCTCCATTTGTGAACATGTCAACATTAGTAGGGGATGCTGGGAGTACACGAGAGTGGTCAACATTTGCAGGAATTTGTGTGATCGACTTAACATTTGCGGCAGGTACCCTCAGGATGGTGTTCACACTTGAAAAGGGGTCTTCATCAGTATGTCACTATTTGTCCTGCATAGAAAAGCTTTCCACATTGTTTTTAAACATATGGCTTTTGCTTTGCATACAGACAAAGACAACAGGAAATGAAACAAGTTTCCTACCTGCTTGTAAAAGTCAGAGCAAGTGAGGCAGCGAGGTGCGGCATCAGTCGAAGGTACTGGGTCTGGTGCTCAATGATTTTCACCTCTTCTTTGTCTTTAGGTCCAAATTGCCTCCGGCTAATTTTAAAAACAAAGGAGACAGAGTGCAAGATTAACAAAACATTACATCAAACTTGTCTAGTAGCTCAGTGACTGCAAAATATAAATGTCTGCATATAATAACATAATAGGTTACAGTCAGGACAGAGATCTGGTGCTGCCAAACTTCATTCACTAATGTTCCTGTGAAGTATTTTGGGGACACCTTACTACATAAAAGGCAGCATATAAATGGAAAAGGCAGTTGTTGTTGAGAGGATTGGATAATTTCTCTGTCAATCACAATACTGAGATTAATTTTAGGCATACAATTAGTATTGCAACTATTCTCCGCTCAATGCACTTTGATGGAGAGGTTATCGTGCTATTTCTGAGACTTTGCAGTAGTTCCAGTCATAAGTTCAGAGACTGCTTTTAAAACGATATGTTCCTCCAACTCATTGGTCAGCAAAAGGTCAATATTCAGTCAAGGAAACAATTATATCAATGAACAGAGATCAATAACGTTTGAGAGGAAAAGGAAAACCAAAGAATATGAAATCATGGATATCTAAATAAATACTGAAAAGGAAGAATATCTATCAATATCTGTAAAAACAAATTAATAAATTTAATATCATGGATGTGGTCTTGCATATTCTGTTTTATGATAAGAGTTCCAAATTGTCAGCAGTTGAACAATGATACTGTCAAGCATAACTTTGTAAAGTCCATGTGAAGATGGGAAAGAATCTCTTTCCATTAATTATGAACAGGAATGGTTTATTTTACTGATAGCAAGCTTTCCAGCTTGCTAATTAGTAACAATGAGAAATTAATTTGCGTAACATTTTTTAAGCAATTCACCGACCAGCATTTATTACCCATCCCTAACTGTCTTTGAGAAAGTGGTTCTCCGCAGTCCATTTGGTGTAGATGCACCGACAGTATTGTTAGGAAGGGAGTTCCAGGATTTTGATCCAATGACACTGACAAAACAACAATATATTTCCAAGTCAGGATGGTGCATGGTTTGGAGGGGAACTTGCAGGTGGTGACGTTCCCAAGTATTTGCTGCCCTTGTCCTTCTGGATGGAAGTGGTCATGGGTTTGGAAGGTGCTGCCTAGGGAGCCTTGGTGAATTTCTGCAGGGCACTTTGTTGATTTGTACACACTGCTGCTGCCAAGTGTCGATGGTGGAGGGAGTGGATGTTTGTGGATGTGGTACTAAGCAGGCTGCTTAATCCTGGATGGTGTCAACCTTCTCAAGTACTGTTGGAGCTGCACTCATCCGGGCAAGTGGGGAGTATTCCATCATACTCCTGACTCATGCCTTGTGGGCAGGCTTTGAAGAGTCAGGAGGTGGATTACTTGTTACAAGATTCCTAGCCTTTAACCTGCTCTTGTAGCCACAATACTTAAATGGATAGACCAGTTCAAATTCTCATTAATTCTAACCCCTGGATGTTGATAGTGGAGCATTTGGTGATAATGATGTTGTTAGATATCAAGGGATGATTGCTAGATTCTCTTTCTTGTTGGAGATGGTCACAACCTGACCCTTGTGCGGTGCGAATGTTTCTTGCTAATTGTCTTACTTGCATATTGTCCAAGTCTTGCTGCATTTGGACATGGACTGCTTCAGTATCTGAGGAATTGTGAATGGTGCTGAATATTGTGTGTTGATCAATGAACATCCCTACTTCTGACCTTATGATGATGGAAGGTCATTGATAAAGTAGCTGAAAATGGCTGGGTCAAGGACACTACCTTATGGAACATCTGCAGACATGTCTTGGAGCTGAGATGACTGATCTCTAACAACTAAAACCATTTCCTTTGTGCTAGGTTTGACTCCAGCCAGTGCAACTTTCCACCCAATTCACATTGACTCCAGCTTTGCCTTGGCTCCTTATGCCATGTTCATAGAATCCCTACAGTGTGGGGACAGGTCCTTTGGCCCAACAAGTCCACACCAACCCTCAGAGCATCCCATCCAGACCCATCCCCCTGCAACCCACCTAATCTGCACATCCCTGAACACTGTAGGCAATTTAGCATAGCCAATCCACCCACCCTGCTCATCTTTGGACTGTGGGAGGAAACTGGAGCACCCGGAGGAAACCCACGCAGACACAGAGAGAATGTGCAAACTCCACACAGACAGTCGCCCAAGGGTGGAATCAAACCCAGGTCCCTGGTGCTGTGAAGCAGCAGTGCTAACCACTGAGCCACCGTGCCACCATGAAAGAACTCACATTGGCAGCACATTATACATAGCAAAAACTGACACACAAGTATTGAAATGACTGACCAGATGTCCTAATTTTTGTTAGTTGAGGAAAGGACATTAGTCAGGACATCAGGATAATAAACTACTCCTGACAAAGTGCCACAGGGGATTTTACATCCAACTGAGTTAGCATAACAAGGCCATAGTTTAATGCTTCAACTAAAACATAGCACTTCCAAAATGCAGCACTGAGTCAGTACCGTGCTGAAGTAATTATGTGCTTAGTCCAACGTGGTCCCATGGCCTTTAAAGTTACAATCTTTGTTGCTTGACAAATAGGCCATTAATGACTAAAATGCTTCTTAATACTTTTCTTATTACAGAAAACATTTGATGGACCATGTGGAAAAGGGAGACGAGTGGGGCTAACTTAGAACTTACAATGCAGAAGGAATATTAAAGAATGTGAAACATCTTCGAGAAAGTTTATAGGATGATTCCCAAACTAGTGATACAAGTGTAGCCTCTCACAACTGCTCAGGGCACAGGTTCATTTCGAAAAAAAAATTAAAACCTTGCATTAATTCCTCTCCCTCTCCTTCTTTGAAGATGCAGAAAATGCTGGAGAACTTCCAGTTTTCTTCTGTATTCCAAACACTAAATGCTGGCAGCTAAACACAAATGTACTTGAGCTTTTCCTCACATTCTAAAGCAACAGTTACTGAAAAACTAATCAGGATCGGGAACCATGCCTGACTTTTCCTTTTCTTTCTCAGTGGTATAATTAACTGAAGCAGCCCTGACTGAGAGGGATAGTAGGAACTGCAGATGCTGGAGAATCCGAGACAACAAGGTGCAGGGCTGGATGAACACAGCAGGCCAAGCAGCATCATAGGAGCAGAGAGGCTGACGTTTCGCCCTGACTGAGATTGGCTAAATGATTGAAGGCAAAAGAAGTGAGTTGGGTTTTCAGAAACCTTATGGCTCAGGTAATCTGTGGACAATGCGCAAAGATTTCTCCATCAGCAGTTTCTTTACCATCTAGAAGAACTAGAGCAGCAAATTCATGCGAACATCACCTCCAATTCACAATTATCCAGATCTGGACATACATCAAAGTCAAAATCCTGGAATTCTCTACCTACCAGAACTTTTGGGCATACCTCCACAACAGTGTAACCTTTCCAGGCTCACTATCACCTTTTTTCAAATTGTATATGGGATGCAGGCATCGCTGACTAGACCAGCATTTATTGCCCAGCCCTAGTTGCCCAGAGGCCAGTTAAGAGTCAACCACATTGCTGTGGGTCTGGAGTCACAGGTAGGCCACACCAGGTAAGGATGGCAGTTTCCTTCCCTAATGGAATCCCCCCACCCTCCGACAATCAGCTATGGATTTGTGGTCATCATTTGACTCTTAAATTCCAGACTTCAACTGAATTCAAATTCCACAAACTGCCATTAGCTGGGCCTCTGGATTAACAATCCAGTGATGATTCTACTAGGCCATCACCTTTTCAAGGGCAATTGCTGACAACCAATACTAGCCTTGTCATCTATGGCCACATCTTGACAACAGAGCAAAAATACTTGCTGAAGCGTGAGGGGACATGTAAAGAGGTTTTATTATTTTAAATCAAACTTTATGCACACAGCCACATTATATACATGTAAGTATAAATACATAGCACTGGATTTCTGTGGTTTGTATCATAAATCAGTATGATTAATAAGGAACTTTTACTAAAATCCAGATGTAGCACAACCAATTCAACAACATTATAAAATGTTATTTTTACATACATAACATGACCCAAGGATCAAATTTCTCACCATATTAGTTAAACAGTGATTGTGAGTCAACAGAATGACAAACTTTACGTAAATGAGAAATTTTGCAAATTATAAAAGATATTTCAGGGGTAAAACAACTCACTGGTTACACAAAGAACTAATTCTTTGCTTTGTTGCAGATATGGCAGTTATGTCACTCAATAAATATGTTGTTGATGTCACTGAATTTTATCTCAGTTTATTCTATATTTGTTTTTTCAAATCAATCTCTCTGCTGAACATAACCTTTTCATTTAAAATTTAATAACAACTGTCAGAGGTTTGAAAGCATTCAAGAAACTGTGCCTCAGTATTGTTTTGATCTGTGGGTTTCCATTTCGTGCTGTATAATGCAATGTGCATCTTGTTTACAGGTAATGAAAGTGAATCTTCTAGCTCAGTGTCTGCCCTTATAACACTTCTTACACTTGCATGATTGTGCAATGAGGATGTACCATATTTTCAAAAACCTCTATGACACACACACACACAAGGAGCTGGAGTGTGTGCTTTGACTGTGATATAACATTGCTCATGGTACATAATGCTGACATATCTCTCAATGTCTGAAATTACAAGATAATCTACAGTATAGATTTCAAATCAAATGCTCGAGCCCTTGCTCATTATCTAGAGTTTAGGAGTTTGTTTTGCTACTAAGAACATTATCCAACATTGCAGACAAACAAGTCTAGTCAAAAGGAATGACTGTCAAAGTTCAAGTTAGTGCTGGTACGGGTTTGCTGCACCATTGTTGCCTATGGAAAATCATGTTAGACATTATTAGCTAAATGTACACGTTAAAGAGCACTTCAGCTTTTTAAGGCTCAGACACCGTTCTTATATGAGTCATTACAGTGCCAGTACATTTGAAAAAACGCGACCGATCGTTACAGCTTAAAATTTTTGATGATAGTGGGGGAAGAAGATTATAGTGAAATGTTATTACATGAGAGGTTACATAAAGTAATGA